AGTCGGATTTTTACCGATCAGTGACGAGTCTTTGCTTTTTTTATACTCGCGCCAGTCGGATTTTTACCGATCAGTGACGAGTCTTTGCTTTTTTTATACTCGCGCAAGTCGGATTTTTACCGATCAGTGACGAGTCTTTGCTTTCACTTGTTCCACATCGCTTAGGAGTCGAGACTAAGGGTAGTTTATAAACACTCTTCCTCCTTAACCCACCGAGGCGCCTTTTCAAGGACAAAACTGTGACAGCCCAACGAGCGCCAAAGCGGACAATACCTCGGATGCGGTGACCCTAACGATGACAGCGGACTTACGGTAGGAACATTGGCGCTAGAAGGAGGGCCCAGGCCACTCTCGCCCCTTAGCATCGACTGGGGGGCTTGTTCCGGTATGCCTAAAAGTTCCACATCGCTTAGGAGTCGAGGCTAAGGGTAGTTTATAAACACTCTTCCTCCTTAACCCACCGAGGCGCCTTTTCAAGGACAAAACTGTGACAGCCCAACGAGCGCCAAAGCGGACAATACCTCGGATGCGGTGACCCTAACGATGACAGCGAACTTACGGTAGGAACAAAGCATATAAAATATATTTGGTTATAGTCTCACATTTTTTTTGTAAATACATATTGTGAAATGATAAAGAAATTCAATCATTTTAAATCATGGTAGTCCTATGCATATTTTAAATCAAAAACTCAAAAATGTTAAGATGTATAGTATATGTGTTGTTTATCTTCTGTGTCGGATGTGAAGATGATTATATAGTTGTTGTGTTTCATATTTGATTATTATGAGTTGTTTATTATCTCTAGCTTACCCTTTCATGTTTCCATATGATTTGGACTGTAATGATCATACGTTGTATGGGAGCAGGGCAGGGATAGGCTGGGAGATAGTTGCTAGAGGCCACAAGAGGTGCCTGGAGATGGATATTTTTTTTGTAGGCTACCTTATAGTAGCATATTTTGTTGTATATAACTGGTTGCTATTGGTTGCTTGATTAACAACTTCTGTTGTAAATATTTTATTATACTATTTTAATATATATATTCCAGTAGTATGTAGTGTTGTTTCGTAGTGTGACGGCCACGGCGGGTCTTATAGGAATTTTGACAAAAAAAATTTCTGCCTTTGCATTGATCATCTGAGGAATCGCAGAGACGGTTGTAGTGTTGATTCCTTCCCATTTCTTCTTTTGAAAAAATGTTTTTGATTGGTCTTTGTCTGATAGTGGCAACTTTACGGTTTCACGTATAAATGGGATGCCCTATACTAGGTGCATCTCTGTAGCTTCCCTTCTATCAAGGTGGTGTGGCCTTCAATAGCCCTTAGCCTCACCTCTAGAGCACTTAGATAAACATTGGCATAGTCGTTGTCATGTTGCATTTTGATCATGGCCTCAAACATCCTAACCATTTGTTCCTTAAGTTGTGCGAGTTCTTCAGAGAGCTCACGATTCCTTTCTTCTAAGGCCTCCATTATTATTTCCTTCTAAGCCCTAGTGAGAAGGAAATGTTGAAAAACCACCTTTGGGGAAAAGATTTTTTTTTTTAGCTAATGAATGAAAATGCATGGAGGAGGTGATCCTAGGTGGTTCTCTTTTTCTTTTATGAAGGGATACATGTTTCTCACAAATTTTATTTTTGCACTAGGTTTTCCCTCATGACAATGCATTTTTTTAGTATTTTCATTACACTAGGGGAAATATTTAAACACGAATAAATAGTTTGAACAAACAATGCAACAAACATATATTCAAACAATATACACCCATAAATAGTCACGTACATAATCCTTGGTTTGTGGTCCCTGTCAAAGAAAGTGCGTTGTATAAGATAGTTCTAATTGTCCTTAATAGTCTTTCAAGGCTCCTAAGGTGCCCCTATTATAGGGACTTGGTATCTTTGCCACCGTCATCGTCACTTGGTAAACATCTAGGTTTGACGTAGTATTTCGGGCTAGAGTAACCGGTTATCACCTTGAGTGTGATTTCCAACAAAGCTCGTAGGCACTAAGTGATGGCATCCTTACTTGCATGAACATGAGATGATGAGCAAAGGAAGAGGACGCCTACTCCAAGGATCAAGTTCTTCAAAGGTGGCACAAGGTTTTAGGGTGGATGATGATGGAATGGACAAAAATGGAGGTTGGGTAGAAGGTGTTTGAGGAAATGCTTGAAAAGGGTACTCTAGGGTTGGCTCACTTCATGGAGATGAAGACGACTTCTAGGGTTTTTTCTCTCAAGGTGGAGATGGGAGGGAGGTGGCCGAATTAGCCAAGGGTGACTAAGAAAAGATATAAAGCCACAAAAGGCTCTCTTTATATTCAGTATCCAAAGTATTTACAAGGAGGCTAGCCTAGGGTATTTATAGAAGGGAGGATGCATTTAGGGTTACATTTGAGAGTGCATGGCCAAGTAATGCAATCCAAATGCACTTCAAATGAAATCTAAATTAACCCTAGATGCTACTTGGTGGCCAAGGATGGAATCTTTGGGTTTGGTTAAGCTACATCTACGTGCATGATAAGACCATGCAACCTAGGTGCCCTCCACTTGGGCCTAAACCATGCCAAGTCCAAAAATAAATCCAATGCCACCAAAAAACATGTCTAAGCCTAGTTTCCAACCTTAATAAAATACCCTAGCTATAAAATAAAATCCTATAATCTAAGACACCCCATAATACAAGGGTAAAATGGGAAATACAAGTAAAAAATAAATCTTATGACTAAGACACCCCAAAATACAAGGGTAAAATAGGAAATTAAAGACAAGGGCAAAAATAGGAATAAATCCTATACTAATAAAAACTTAGGAGCTAAGGCCCAAAAGTAGTCTCACTCCTCTTATGGTTTTCAAAAATAACACATTCCTCTTGCCTCCTTCAATATATCACCTCTTGGTCTTCTTGGTCTTAGTGTGATTCCATCATTCCTTCCCTCTTAAAAAAGATTTGACCTCAAATCAAGAGGTTCTTCATGGTGGACGTCATGACCAACAAAAACATAAAAATAAGCATTGGAGGCAATAGTATATGATATAAATGGAAAGTGCATTCTAAGAGGAGTTCCACTAAAAATGCTAAAAAGATTGTCTAAACTAAAAGGACTAGACTCTCTAATGCTAAAGGTAGGATCCTCCCCATGGTTAAGTCTAGGTGTATAACTAAAACCTAAAAAGGTAAAAAGACTAAAATTATAGCACACAAAAGCATTAGTCCTAAAAACTAAAATATTTTGTTAGAGGTATCCAATGTAGTGACCTAGGTATGTATTGGAAAATAAAGAAAATTTAACTAAAAAAATACCTAAACAACTTTGTATTGAATTATTTGTTAGATACATATGAGAAAAGAGTGTTCTCGTATAATCTAAGTTTGTCTTGTAGGGAAATAACCAAGTTAAGTTCAAATAAGTTTGAACTTTCCTCAAGATCAAAAATAGAAAATACAACACCATGAGATGTATCCGAAAAACCATAAAAACCAAAAGTTGGGTGTTTTATGAAGAGAACTAAAGTAGAAAGAGTCTTAAAGAAAGAAAACTTATCTTCCTTGGGCACCACGAAGGAAGTAGCACAAGAAGTGGGACTAAGTGAAGTCCAATTCTTCTTCACTAATTCTTGAAGTTGAGATTCTTCTTCTTTAGAAAATATTTGTTTTTAAATCTCCACTTCATGACTAGTGGTAACATGAGAGAAAATGTTAAGGTCTTGATGAATAAAGATAGTCTTTTTCAAATCGTTTTCAATGGTAAAGTGACTTTCTTTAAGCATAAGCCCTTTGGAAGAAATATTATCCTCCTTACTCTTCTTTAATAGTATTGTTTGTTTTTTTTTCTTTTTCTAACCACTTTTCAACTCTCTCTATACTTTTCTTCTTGTTTTCTTTCTTTATTTGTATTTTCTTTTCTTTTTTCTTTCTTCTAAGTTCTTCCTCTCTTTTTGTATTTTCTTCCTCATGCATAATCTTAGGGATTCTAACCCCTTTGCCTATTTGAGACCTAGTTGGAACAACCCTAGGTTTGGATCCACTAGTTTCTCTCCCTTCAACTAATTTTGCAAGTAATTGTCTTATTTCTTCATTATTTTTTTTATTTTCTTTTTCTCTTTTTCTCAACTCTTCCTCTCTTTCGATTGGGTATCGGTCGTAAATGATTGTATATGGAAAGCTAGGCGGAAGGAAGATGGTCTGATTCCGTATGCTCTGTTATTGTCCAAGATTTTTGAGAATGTTGGTGTGGATTTATCTGGGGAAAGGAAAATTGTTTTACATGCTTCGAACAAAATAGAGAAGTCTTCTTTACATCACATGGGAATGCTTAAACAAGAAGACAAATGGGTGTTCAAAGGAGATGTACCCCCTCCCCCGGAGCAGGCAACTGATGAAGACGGTGTTCCGTCACATGATGAGGATCAGCCACCACAGGTGGAAGCTAAACCTAACAGGGAGACTGAAGTGGAGCCAAAACCGTTTTCACCATTTGAGCAAATCATGATAAACAAGCTGGATGCGGTAATGGAAATTTCAAGGAGACATGAATCTTTGTTTTCTGGTATTCTTGACAGGTTTGATGATCTGGATCATGAAGTAAGGCTGCTCAAGACTCATCTTGGCATACCGGAGGATGAAGATTGATTACTATTTTGATGTTTGATAATTAGTTTTAATTAGGATTTTAAATTCTATTTTTGAACAATTAATTTCGATTTGGTTGTAATGTTTTCAATTTCTGAACATTTTAATGTTTTCTGGTGTTGAACAATTAAATTCTGATGAAATTTGGACTTTATTTTGCTGATTTGTTGTTTTGAATGTGGTATCATAATTCTGTTTTGCTTGACTGATGCAAAAATGCTCTGGTTTTGAGAGCATGTGTGAATGCTCTGTTTTGAAATTTGATGAGCAAATTGAGCCTTGGTTGATGGTTGATTACAATACTCTAACATGGATCAATCAGAATTTAACCAGATCTAATTTTTCCTATCTAGCTAAGATGGATCCATGTGAGGGTGGGGGGGGGAAGATATACTGCTATTGCAAAATAGTTAGTCCTGTTTAACAGAAAAAAGTGAAATTATATCCCTATGGGGAGAACTCTTGGGTAACAGATGCAAAGATAAAAGTAGAAAATTTAAATACTGCCTATAACAGAAGGACAAACGAGAATTAGATGCTAGGAAAAAAAAGATAAATTATACCCCATTCACACCTTCAACAAGAAAAACATAGAAGAAATCAGAATTTGTTTCCAAAGTACATACTTGGATATCGTTTAAGCTCTCGTTGGACAAGGTCGTAAGGGAAAGGACAAAGTTGTTCCACTCTACATATTGCAACGTCCTTTGCATCAACCTTTCTTCGTTGATCATCAAGTTCATAGTAAATCTGCAAGTGGTAGTTGAATTTTATATTCATATACAGCAATTTAGAAAACAATGGATATATACTAGTCTGATGTAATTGAAGAACCACTTAAATTCATATATACGGAATAATAAAATCCACCAGATGTAACAGCATGAAAACTGGTTAATAATAACATGAAGATAGCTGGTTTATAATGAGAACCACATACCTTTCCAGAGCAAAGTACTAAACGTCTAATACCCTCCTCAACATCTGAGTGGAGATTTTGGTCTTTTATGAGGCGCTTAAATCTGGTTCCCTGTTTGTCAAAACCTGGGTGGCCTTGGACATCATCAAACTCAGATAAATTTGATCTGCAAGCCTTGCTACAAAGCAGTTTCTTGGGGGACATTACAATGAGAGGTTTACGGAATTCTCTATGAACCTACAAGATCAAAAGCAGCAGAGTGAGGCAAAATATGAGCATTTGAATTCAATTAGGCAAGTAGAAAACCATGACAAACAACTATGTGAGGATCTATAGAATGAAGTAGTATTTTCATATTAAGGTTCCACTATAAAACAAAAACACACTTAGGTCGAAACATTTTGAATTTCAGGTCCAACTCTTTCCAACACAAAGTGTTTTAAAAGAATCCTCTATTGTCATACTTTGGTTCACATACAGGACAACCAAAAAGGTCTAAGGAACTAGTCATGAATTTGTTAAAACTGAGAACAGAACATAAACTTTTATGAGTATTCAATGCGCTAATTTAACAAGTCTGATTCTCATTCCTTCATTTCCAAACTACACAACAAAATTTTGAGCAAGGTCCTGAACATACAGAAGTGTTGACACTGTCATATTCAATCCAAGAGTTGACATGACAATAAACATCAGTAAATAATTATATTAGTAATTGCAGTAGTAAATAAACTTAACAATATAAAAAACAAAGGTCACAACGCACCTGCTAGCCTAGCCTTGAGCCACTGACAGAACTTTATCAGAACCCTATGCAAAGAGCCAAACAAATAAAGGGAACAACACATTTGGCACACAACCATTTTAGAAATGAAGGAATGCCAAAACTGTAGCAGAGTTGAAACACATGACATATCTTCAATTAAATATATTATATATACAATTTTAATCCATGCATATTTCCCAGTCATCACAGGAAATTCAACTTCCACCCAAAACATAATCAGTAAACCACACTGACTTTTATGTTTCACAGAGGTGGTTAATGAAAATAAAAACCATTATGTTGCAGTGCAGAGCAGCCATTATACAAGTTAAATAAAAACCATTATACAAGTTAAATAAAAACCATTATGTTGCAGTGCAGAGCAGCCAACCCCAAAATCATTATAGTGGATAACACATGGTGGGATGACATATATTTTAAAGATTATAAACACAAGTTAAATATAAATGGTCAAAAATAAAATAAGTAAAATTAAAGACATTTATAATTAATGGTCAAAAGCCCATCTGATGATATTACTCATGATCAGAGAAAATATACAGTTTAGTATATTTTACACACACACAAAGGTATACTAAACAAACACAACAAATACGTTTTATTGTATCAAGGAATATGAACAATGTGATACCTCCGGTTCGTGACATTTGACTCTTGCCGACCATAAGAGACAAAAGCTTATTACGCCCAAAAAGCAATTCACCATGCTTGACCCCTTTAAAATAAATACACATCAGAATTTTCTAAAGTGGACAAAAAAATGGCAAGTGCAAGCTTTATTTCTTTTAAAATCATCTTACCAACAAAATAACCCACACTGTATAGACTTGCAATATGTTTGAAATCTGAATAAGATACTACAACATTAAGGCATTAACTCTAAATCCATTAATAATTGAAAAATGAAGGGCATATTCCATCTACATATCAAAGAAAATGAAGGGCATGCCAGAATAGAACAATAGATAGTTTCATCTAGATTTCAGATTTATTTTAATGAGTCAACTACTGCTAAGAATTGGAGAACTCTATATACCTGTCACAAATGATTTTCTATATTGAATCGTTAAATACAACGAACTAGATTTCAAGAATTGTGTGAGGAGTTTTTTGCAAGTGTAAAATTCCTTCTTAAATTCAGTCGACTATGCAATTCATTAAAGAATTGAACAGCGATAATTTTCTTTTATAGGTGATTAGACTTCTAAAATACATCAAAGACAGATTAGGCAGCTTACTGTTCCAGATTAGTAATACATGAATACACAATGTTGTTCAGAATCTGCTACTAAATGCACACATACAAAGTACAAATACACGTGGTAGCATTGAATTTGGAATTAAAATAGAGACGGGTATTGTATGAAATGATAGTGATGTTAGTGTTACATAAAAGAGGAGGGAGAAAAAGTGTTAGAGATGAGGACCTGAAGTTGAGTTTGAAGTCTGGTTCCACTGAAGTCGGAAAGAGAGGAAGCTAAGGGAGAGAAAGAAAGTTGGTTCTGTTGGAGTGCAACCACCCTTGCCATGATGATTCTTTCCACAGTGTGTGTGGACTTTAGTCCAATGAAAATGGTATGGGGCAGAAATTTGAAGTGCTTTTCTTTCTTTCCCTCACCCAATTAACTAACTCCCCACCTCTTCTTTGCTTATGATAAGACAATGACCCACCTCCATCTCCATCCACAGCCTCACAATTCATCCACAGACTGTTTGAAAGAATATATTCTGCATAAATATAAATGGAGTGTACTAAATCTCTAAATCTTAATATTAGTTCAATCTATTTGTTGAGTGAAGAAACAAAACAAGCTTAACATTTTGGTTCTTATGATCCATTATGAGCATGTAGATTAGTGTAAAAGTATATGGAATTTAATTGGCACATGTAGAGACTTCAAGTAAAGATGAGCTACTGAGTCTTTGGATCCAAAAGAAGGTACAAATTCGAAGGAACTTAATGCAAGTGAAAGAAAATGCACCAAACTAGTAACAACTCACAGGTCAGTAATTAGACGATAAAACAGAGAACAGGAAAACCTCATAATGGTTGTTTAAAGGCAGAAAAGAAAGATGCACACTGGAGTACAAACTATCTCCAATGCCATGCAGCAACATAGCAGGGCTTTCAAAAGAACCGTTCAATATCAATATAAAAATCACTACAACAATAGCCGCATCCTACTAGATGAATATGAAATTCACTACCATTCTACAAATTTTATTAGCACTGACGAGTTATCAAATTATTACCTCTGTTTCAATTTCTTCAAAGCAAATGCACAATATTTGGCCCCGTTCCTGTCAAGCGTTGCCCAAAACCCACAATCACCATTCACCATCAATCAATAAGCAATAGATCAATAGAAAAAGAAACCCTAATTTTTCATTTGGGTTGAACAAATTGTAATGCATCATGAACCAAAAAAATACCTTGTACAGGTGAACAACGCTAAACAAGTAGACGTTGCAAATGTTGCCTTCGATGATGAACTCGCGCAAGAATGCCAACATGTTTTGGGAGAACTCCTTTAGAAGCGTCTGTGAATTTGAAACTCGTGCAAGAGCACCGTTCGTCAAAGTGGGTTGTCGTGAAGAGAAGAGCCTGCGAGAGGGTTCAAAGAGAACGTTTCTGCGAAAGAGTTGAGAGAGAACGCGCAATCTATTGAGAGCTTGCTTCTTGCATGTAAGCGTGGTAAACCCTAAACATTGTAAATCTCTTCTACATCGGTTTCCACCAGGAAATTAAAGACAAGGGGAAAATAGGCATAAAAATAAATGTTATAAAAATGTAGGAGCGAAGGCCCAAAAGTAGGCTTACTCCTCCTATGGTTTTTCAACACTAACCCATTCCTCTTGCCTCCTTCAATATATCACCTCTTGGTCTTCTTGGCCTTAGTGTTATTCCATCACTTTCTAAGCTCATCTCTAACACTAGGTCTACTACTATATGAATTATGACCATGTACACTGGAATGATCACTCATCTCTGATCAAAAAGGTTTTCACAAATATGTTTCAAGAAGGTTGGCAAAAAGGTTTTCACAAAGAGTGAGTGATGAAAAGAATTTGACAAAAAGTTTTTTTAAGGTGTAAGATTGGTGTAAAAAGGCTTAAGTGCACAAAGTGAACTATCAAGGGAGGTGGACTACTAAGAATCACTTAAAAACCAAGTCTCTTCAAGTAAAAATCACTAAGCTCTTTTGACACTTTTCTTACAAAACAATTTTGCACAAGAATAAGGTGTGTGTGTGTGCATGGCCCCCTAGTAGGAAACTTGCAGCCTTCTAAAACGAACAAGTAAAAATAAATAACCTAAGCAAATATACTACCAAAGCTATAAAAAATGCAAAGAAAAGCAACTTAAAGCATATGCTAGTTGGATTCCCTAGGGTGGGAGCTTGAAGTGACCTTGGTGGTATTCAAGCCACTCCCACAAGCACTACTTCGAGTTACCCTAAAATGAAGAGGTTTAAAAATGGCCAATTACAAACCAAGATGAATGAAAACAAAGGCCAAAACACAAGAGGCCAAAATTTGAACAAAAGGAAAACAATTGGAAAAAGAAACAATTTCAAGTCTTCAATTCTCCACCCCTTCACAATGAACACCCAAGGTTAGCCTTTCAATGGTGTTTGCACTATTTAATTTGGTGTGATCCTCCAAAGCTCCTTGAACTAAAATCGGACAGCCCTCCACTCAATCCACCAAGAGTGTGTGTGGTGTTTAGAAGCTTTCCTCACCTAGGTCAAGAAGAAACCAAAACCCAGGAGTACAAGAGGCCAAGGAAGAAAAAAAACTAAAAATACACAATTAAAAAGGCTAAACTCAAGTGGAATTGATCCGACAAACTTAAGAGTAGAAAGAAGACACAAAACTAAAATTAAGGCACATTAAGAAAGGTAAGCACACAAGAGAATAAGTCCTAGAACGACACTAGAATGGAATTTATCAAATAGGCTTAAAAGAAAGTAATGCACTTAATGTGTTTGATTAAATGTCTCATTTGGCCATTAAGCTTTGTCCATAAGTCCAAAATAACTCCAAGTGTCAAGGTACGAAAATTTGGTCCAAAACTCCACAAGTCTAGCAAAGGTTCCCTTTTTCTTTTTTCTTGGATTCTTTTGTTCCTTTTTTTCTTTTTAGGCTTGGATATGTCTCAGTTTTAGTGTCAAAGGTCCAGCCACAATCTTTTTTTTAATGTTTATACTTTTCCTTTGCTTAAGTTTTACACTTGTGTTTCTTCGTTTGGTTTTAGTGTCAATGAGACATGATTTGAGTGTTTTCTTAAAGTTTTAATGTGAAATGTCCAACAGCAAAAATATGCACATAAAAGTTATGTTCATGCTCAAATCATCAAACACCATGTAGGCATGTCAAGTGCACAAGAATTACTCAAGACTATTGATATGGCCAAAAAAATTTCAAGTAAGAATGTGCAAGGAATTTAATCACACATGATATTTAAGTGGTATGGAACATGCTAGAACTAATTAGCATGCATGATTGACTCTCTAAAGCACATTAAAGGTTCATGGCCATTTCATCAAACAAGTGGCATGCATGTCATTTTTTTACTTATTTCAAGGATGAAGCATAAATGTTTGGAATGCTTTCCAAGGTAGGTCAAAAGAAACAAGCTTATGACAAAACCGGATGGATTATAAAATAAAAATAATCAATATACCATGCAGCCCAAAATTTTCCAGCAACTCAAATTTAAAAAAAAATGGTAAGAACCTAAATAAGAAAGCCTAAAAATTCCAAGATGATTCACAAGGAAGATATGGTATGAATCAACACATGAAAGGAGATTTATGGATTATCAAAATATGACAATATGATGACTCATTTAAGCACAACTTAGAAGACATTCGAGGAAGACATGACATGACCAAAAATACTTAGAGATAAGGAAGATGTTACCCTTGAAGAACCAAGGCTCTAGATACCATATGATGGCATCCTTACTTGTATGAACATGAGATGATGAGCAAAGGAGGAGGACACCTATTCCAAGGATCAAGTTCTTCAAAGGTGGCACAAGGTTTTAGGTTGGATGATGATGGAATGGACGAAAATGGAGGTTGGGTAGAAGGTGTTTGAGGAAATGTTTGAGAAGGGTACTTTAGGGTTGGCTCACTTCATGGAGATGAAAAAGCCACTTCTAGGGTTATTTCTCTCAAGGTGGAGATGGGAAGGAGGTGGCCGAATTAGCCAAGGGTGACTAAGGAAAGATATAAAGGCACAAAAAGCTCTCTTTATATTCAAATTCAAAGTATTTACAATGAGGCTAGCCTAGGGTATTTATAGAAGGGACGGTGCATTTAGGGGTACATTTGAGAGTGCATGGCCAAGTAATGCAATCCAAATGCACTTCAAATGAAACCTAAATTAACCCTAGATGCTACTTGGTGGCCAAGGAAGGAATCTTTGGGTTTGGTTAAGCTACCTCTAAGTGCATGATAAGACCATGAAAAATAGGTGACCTCCACTTGGGCCTAAGCCTTGTCAAGTCCAAAAATAAATCCAATGCCACCAAAAAACATGTGTAGGGCTAGTTTCCAACCTTAATAAAATACCCTAGCTATAAAATAAAATCCTATAATCTAAGACACCCCATAATACAAGGGTAAAATGGGAAATACAAGTAAAAAAAAAACCCTATGACAAAGACACCCCAAAATACAAGGGTAAAATAGGAAATACAAGAAAAATAAATCTTATGTCTAAGGTACCCAAAATACAAGGGTAAAATAGGAAAATTAAAGACAAGGGCAAAAAATAGGAATAAATCCTATACTAATAAAAAATTAGGAGCTAAGGCCCAAAAGTAGTCTCACTCCTCTTATGGTTTTCAAAAATAACACATTCCTCTTACCTCCTTCAATATATCACCTCTTGGTCTTCTTGGTCTTAGTGTGAATATTCCATCACTAAGGCCATTTTTGGGTTGGTCGTACGTCAACCACTCCCTATGTTTACTCGCTCATACCCCCGATTGTAGAGGGAACTGTTGTGTGCAATGGTTTGTGTACAGTTGTATATTCCAAACAAGTGTAGAAATTTAAATAGACATACATATATAATTCATACAAAATAAACAAAGTAAAGGGAACAACTATTTGAATTATTATTCTTATTTAGAAAATTTCATCATTTATTTGGGCTTCACCCTCTTTTAAGCAATCCCCAATGGAGTCGTTATCTATTGGAACCTGAAAAATTTTGATGTTGCCCATAGATGGTGTACTTCTAGTTTGAAAATCTCATTAATTAAGGAATGTTCGGAACCTAGAATAATTCTTAATTAATGATTTTGAAAAATAGTTCGTAGGAGTTGCCACTGATGTTTTACTCAAAAAAACCTCAGAAAAAGGAAAAAATTTTCGAAAAATGCCAACTTGGCCTTTGTAACCAAAATTGGGTTCGGGGGTCAGTCACATGTAGCGAACGTGTTAAGCATCCCACAACGCCCTAAATGGGTACCCTTATGATGAAATTAGCGATGTAGAATAATAATTTAAATATTTAGTTCGCTTTATTCATGATTATTTACATGCTTAAATTTAAATTTACACGATTTACCCTAAAATGTCTACATGATTGCTCTTACTTATAATATCATTTATGACAGAAGAAGTAAATAATAAAGAAGGGATTTGATTGAAAATACCTCTTTGAACGAGCTTTTATGAAAGCTTTGTGTGTTGTGGTCTGGAAGCACTTTTTGGCTACCTTTCACACTACAATATACCTCACCGCTCAAGAAATACAAGAAGAATAAGAGAGAGAGAGAAAGAT